GGATTGCTATGAAGATTGACTCCCAGGAGTCAATCCCCACAAGTCTAGTGCCTGCAAAGCTTCAAACCTTAGATTAAGGTCTGGATCTTTGTAGGTGTCAAATTAGTCCAGAGAAAACTGGGATATCTCAATTTTTCCAGATTAATCTGGGTTTACCTGAGGCATTGTTTGGATGCCTCAGGTAAACCTGCTACCTATCACAGGATTTAGAGCAGTATAGAAAGGCCCTTCTACACTTCCCTAAAACCCGGGAGGAAGGGGGTTAAAATTTCTCTTGCCACCCCCAACCAAACCCTTTCCCTTGAGGGGTGGCGAGATACTATCATCTAGGACCCAATTTCTCACAAAAAACTTACCAGAAATACCTGCACAATCCTCCTGAGGAACGTGAATAACATGGGGGGGGGGGAGAGAAAAATCCCTCCCCCCATCTCCTGATGTGCCATTTTCACATGTCAGGAGGAGTACTCTGCATTGCACGGTACAGGAGCTCTGTACTGTGCAATTCAAAGAAAACGAGTTATGAATGAAGAAAAGGGTAGGTGCATAAAGCTACCAAGTTATTTATGGCTGATTAATTGCAAATTTGAACTTTAGACTTTCTGGTCCATAATCTGAGCTCTTTCCTACATTCACATATATTAGAGTTGAGAGCCAGTCATTTCAATGTCTTCACTAACCTCAATTTTTTCAGAAGGAATATTATTTTTAGCAATCTCAGGGTACAACTTCAAATAATCTTGGATTAGGCCCCATCTACACTGTGATATAATACAGTTTGAAACTGCATTATATGGTCAGGGTAGGCTCATATAATGCAGTTCAATACTGTTAACCTGTATTAAATTATATGAATCTACACTGACCATATAATGGATTCTATGGCAGTGTAGATGGGTTTTTAGGCCCTTTCTACACTGCCATATAATCTAGTTCGAAGAAGATAATCTAGATTTTATAACGCAGTGAACAAGGCCATATGGTCACTTTCACACTGCCCCTAGATTCCAGGATTTGTTTGCAGATTATCTTCCTATCCCAGATTATCTGGCAAAGTCAGATAATCTGGGCTCAGATCCTGAAATATAGGGACCTGAGGCCCATTTATTGCCATATAATCCAGATTATCAAATCAGATAATTCAGATGATCTGCTTTGAACTGGATTATATGTATCCACACTGCCATATAATCCAGTTCAAAGCAGATCATCTGGATTTTATATGGCAATGTATTTGGGGCCTTAGTCTCCTAGTACTCTTTTCTTAAATATGTCATTAGGAAAATGTGTACAATTGCTCTATGGAGCTATTTAGTAACACAACATTTTGCTCCAGTTATATCAACTTGCAGATGATTTTTAAGATTACCCTATAGAGTATGTTGCAATAAGTCTCTTTGCCACAACAAAGGGCACTGAAATAATCCAGAGTAGCTGTATTTTTCCACTAACTCCAAACTGTAAACTAACACAAATTCAACAGCACAAGCTGTTAAATTATGTGAGCTATTTCTTTTGATCAAAAACATACCTCTCAGTCTAAGCCAAATCCTTACATGCAAAAGTAGTTTCCCAGTAAAATCATTAGTAGGGCGTGTAGAATGGAAACAGTGAAGTGTGCATAACTCTCAAAATACAGGCCTTTAGGAACCTCTTTTTTAAAAACAAAGCGAAATGTCATCCCAACATTCCTTGAAAAAGAAACTCTTTCCCCTTGATTTAATAAGTCCATTGATATCATATAGTGTTAAAAAGAGCCCTTTCATGCTACATAGCTATGGCACTACAATCCCACTTTAACTGCCATGGTTCCACCCCGTGGAGTCCTGTGGTGTGCAGTTTGGCAAAGCACTACAACTTTTGTCTAGGTTTCTAAGTACACAATATTCCAGAGTAAGGAACTATGCAGTTAATGTGGAAGCATAGTGTTGCAACCAGGAACGCTTTGTGATACATTTCTTCTGGGACTCTCTACTTGGTACCCTTACACACATGTTATGGATATCGAATGTCACCTATTTTGGAGTTTTAACAGCAATTTCTATTCCAGCGGTTTGTTAGAATTACCACTTACTAAATTCAGAGCACTCTACACTATTTTGGCCAAGAGACCTAAAGAAGTATGTAGGATGGAATGCACCAGGCTATTCAGAATTACAAGGATGGCAAATGCACTGCCTCTGGGCAGAATGCATTCTCTTGATTGTTTTGGCTCTGTATTGATCCCCACTGAATTTAAATTGCCACATTTCAATAGTATGGCTATAGCAAAAGAACCACATTTTTCCTCAAAAACAGAGGACGTATGTGCCATACCTTGGTATGCCCTCAATTAATTTCTGATTTATGGTGACGCTTATTACAGAGTTTTCTGAGACCAAGTGTGCAATTTACCTAAAGTCACATAGTCGGTTTTTGTGTTTGGGTATGGATTGAAACACTTCTCTATAGTTCTAGTCCAGTGACTAAATATACCACACTGACTCCATTATGTAGCTCATACTTCATTTTAAAACACATTCTTGGAAGCTCAAAAGAGCACAATTCTACTTTAAAATGAGAAGCGTACTCTCCATGTGCCTTTTTTGCTATCATGCTGCCAAAATGTATCAAGTGTCCATGACATATTGTGAACACTGGAAGGTTGGGGCTACTAATACAGACACTATAGGAAAGTGACAAGTTCTGAATATATTTTATAGAAAACATGCATCACATTGTATAAATATAAAGTAGAATAAATGACAAAAAATGCCACAACTACTAAACTTCTCCCAATTGTTATCACAGGTAGGTCGATTTGCTTACATGCTATAGATCATCAGCATTCAGCAACAATAGTTAAATCAAGATTGAAAAGTTCCTACACTCCTGGCACATTAAAAACACAGACTTGGTGGAATTTTATTAATTCATTCCATCGAAGATCCAGTGCAGAAATATGGTTTATATATTTCTGCCTGTGGAACTGATGGTAGTGATCTTATCAGTTTCAGAGATCAGCCCTTGCCCAAGAAGGAAGAAGGAAGATTGGGACATAGGGACCACCAAATGCAGCACCCAAACACGAATCAAGGAACATGAAAGGCACTGCAGACTACTTCAGCCAGAGAAGTCAGCCATAGCAGAGCACTTGATGAGCTCTTGACTTGGACACAGCATATTATTTGAGAACACAGAAATGCTGGACCACTCTAACAACCACCATGTGAGACTACACAGAGAAGCCATTGAAATCCATAAGCATGTGGACAATTTCAACAGAAAAGAAGAAACCATGAAAATGAACAAAATCTGGCTACCAGTATTAAAAAACTCTAAAATTACAACAGCAAAACAACAGAGGGGAAACAATAAGGGGCAGCTAATCACCTCTCAAATAATACCACATTTGAGCTTGCTTAACTTCCAACTTAAATTCTATTTGGAGCCCATGGTGTCACCCTAAAGCTGACTTCTTTACCTTGATCCTGAATTCTTTTATTCCTTCCCTGTAGTGCAGAAGTATCAAATTTGTGGCCCTCCAGATGTTTGGGCCTCCAATTGTCAGAAGCACTAGAGCTTGTCCAATGGCCAGGAATTCTGGGAGCTGAAGTCCAAAACACATGGAGGAACACAAGGATGACACCACTGCTCTAGCATGAATTTATTCCAGAAAATTCCTTGCCCCAAATCTAGTAGCTCCCATCTTTTTAAACTGACTTAAATGGTAGTACTAGTTTACCGAAAGAACACCTCTATTTGAATGCATCCCAGCCTATGGATTTTCACAGGCAAAAGGTTTCAGTGTTGAGCCTAACTTCATGCCAACAGAAAAGTGCGAGTTTTGTGGCTTTAAGAGGGTAAATAAATTATTACACCTGGAAGAATTTTAGTTTCTGAATATCTTCAGTAATTGAAATATTTAAATTATCCTTGAGCAAAGTTAGAAATAACAGGATGGTCTGAATGCAAAAGATGATCTTAATTGGCTTTTTTTTCCTTGTCAGGAGCAACTTGAGAAACTGCATGTCTTTTCTGGTGTGGGAGGCTTCTCTCATGTCCTTGCATGGAGAGCTGGAGCTGACAGAGGGAGTTAATCCACACTCTCCCCAGATTCGAACCTCGAACTTGTCAGTTTTCAGTCCTGCTGGCACAAGGGTTTAACCCACTGTGCCACCGGGGGGGGGGGGGCTCCTTCACTAGGTTATGATCCACTACCACAGAGTGGTGTCAGTCTTCACTCCTGTTGGCACAAGGGTTTAACCCACTTTGCCACTGGAAGCTCCTTCACTAGCTTATGATCCACCACCACTGAGAACTATGCTGACTTTTTCTTGATCCCTATTAAATGTGTGCTCACATAAAATAATTATCTAAGGCGTAATTTTTCAAAAGACTAAACCTAAAGCAACTTATGAAGTATTATTATTTATTTCAGACTGACAACAGAAATCTAAAACAGCATAAGCAATTTCTCACTTAATGAATACACATCTGTCATGAAATTGCAGCCCTAACTCATGTCTTCCCTAAGCTTGGACCCAAAGAGAAAAAGTTATCTGGATTCATATTTGATAACAAGGCAAAAAGGGCTGTAGTTTCTGACTGTATGTTTTTTTCCAGTTGTGAATAAGACAGTTTGGCTCTCACCCAGTGTGTTAAAGGCTTATTTGTTTTCTTATTATTATTTCCAAGTGTGACACATGACAAAGAATGGAAAGCATCGACAAAGGGAACTGTTACATCCCAAAATCAACAGGGGAAATGAAAAGAAAGCTTCTAATTGAAGGAACTCTCTGAAGTATTATTCATAGTCAAACAAATTGAGGAAGGAGTTATAAGACAGTTATAATAAACTTGAGACACTTGATGCCTTCTGTGTTTATTGTTTAATGGCCATGTTGACAGTAAAGGCTATTGACAGAATGTTCAGTTTTACTTCAAAATAAGAACAGTGATAATATGTTGTTCCCAGTATTGCTAGAAATAGAATTCTGGGAAGTAATTCCCCATCTTACCATTTTGTATTCTTTCCAGGTTTTTTGGAAATCTAGGCTCCCATCTTCTCGGTGCTGTATAACTGTCCAGCCTCCTCCCAGGGTATCCATATTACAAAAAACCTGGGTATAACAACATACATCACATAAGAAACTTTACATTGATGTGGCACCTTGATCCACCTAGCTCAATTTTCCACTTTCAAAAAACGATCAAACATATCATTTGAAAAGTACACCTCCCAGAGTTCCCCCATGCTGGCCTGGAGAATCTGAGAGCTGTTTTCTTTTCTTGGCAGGGGACAATGGTTTTCTGATGTTTAAGTGAATGCCCAGCACATCCTGGTCCTAGTTGAAACAGCTTCCCTATATGTATTCATACTCAGATGCACACGCTCCAGAATGGCTGGGACTATTCCAGATTTCCTCTCACTGTGATCTTTAATAAAACCACATGCTTCATTGGTATATAAAGTCGAATTTTAACAAAACGTCTAAGAGTTCTTATCAATTCAGTGAAGCTTTGGCATTCTCACAGAGAGCCATAGAAGGAAGCAGACCTCATGACATTGGCTAATAATGAAACGTTGTACATGACCTTATCATATGAGGTTCACTACTCAATTCCTTTGAACTGTTTCCTTCACAATCATGACATTTCATTCTCAACTGAATCAATTCCATGCTTTTCACTCTAAGGTGCATTGTCCATACCAATGTTGTTCGATTTCTCCCATTGTATGATTTTGCTTCTCGTACACACAGCCAAGGACCCCTGATTGTGTATCAGTGGAAAGGGATTGTACAAGGCTCAAAAATGTGAACCTTATTTGAGAAAGGGAAAACAAAACCCTTAGAAAAATGCCGTTCCTTGAAGAAAAAAAAGCTTGGTTCAGTGCTTCCTTTCACAATGACATTTGAGTACAACATTTATCTACAGCTGCGGTTTCATTGGTCTTTGATTTACAGCAGGCATTTTTAAGCAATGCATGTATCTTATTTAACATTCACGTCAAGCCTCCAGAAACCCAGTGATATTGTTTTCTTTAAAACATTACATTCAGTAAGTGCGGGTAGAGGTAAGATAATAGGTATGCACATGTACATGAACTTTATGTTTTAAAAATCCTTTTCTAAACAAGTTTTGAAGTTTTTCTTGTTTTGAGTGATGTGGCAAATTAAAAGAGGGGAAATGAGACAATGATAGGAGGATATGAAGTACTAAATTATTCACTGTGTGGTCTGGCACTCTCCATAGCAATGGAAGGGAACACCTGCCACATTAACAGGAGCAGCAAGCTGATTATAAATGTTAGCTTTTCACCATCGGAGCCAACAAATGTCCTCAACTGGCTCCTGTCCCAGACAAGGTCAAAGCATTCAGCCATTAAACACCTTTTAACATATTTTGAGGTTGAAATCTGAACACACACTCACACACTATGAGAAAATTACTCTCCTTTTCTATCTTCTTGATAGTAGATTAAATAGAAATAGAGCCATCACAATTCAGTGGTTGCTAATAAAATGAAACTCCCTAAACTGATAAAAGATATGAGAATTATTGTAACCCTTTGGAGACAGATAACATATTTTGTTGTTGTTGTTGTTTAATATTAAAACATGATGCCCTTTTCTATATTTTTATAAGCTCTCAGTATTGTTCACATGTTAACTAACAGCACAGGAAGTCTGGGACCAGGCCACTGAATACTTGCACTGATTGTGTTGGCAGGCATTGAAATAGAAATCTAAGGTCAGAAGAATTCATTTATGGGACAAATGAGACTGTCCATCATCATAGTTCCAGATTCCCTTTTCTCTGCTCCTCCTGATAACTAGAACAGCCAATGAAATATAACAGAGGTGTAGCAACTCATCAAGATAACAAACTATACCACCCATTTTTTTTGTAGTAGACATTAATACAATATGGAAAAATGGAGGAGGAGGAGGGAGAGAAAGAGGAGACATGAAATTAACCATCTTATTCTACTGAGCTGTGTTCCTATGAACATTAGATGGGATAGCATCTTAACCTTGGACTCAGACAGAAAAATGTCTTGAGTCAGACTCTACATATGCTAGCCAGGAAGTAGGAAAGAAGCCAGATGAGCAGACTTGGAAGAGGATGGATAGCAGGAACTATGGTTTTCTCATCTCCCACAGCAAAAAGATTTCAAACGTCGACAGGTAAAATGTAGCTTATGGGACACATATAAACCCAGGAACTAGGCTTGGGTCCGGATCAGTCATTTCTCCCTTCCCAGCAATAAAGTGTACTATCCATTTCTTTTAGAAAAGTTCCCTAGGCTCCTTGTCCAGAGGGGGCCCTGCTGGGAACTTGCTTTCCCAGCAGCACTTGCATGGGGTGGGCATTAAAAAGTTTCTGAGTTCCTTTCAAAACACAATGGGAGTTGAAGGTTTTTTAAAATATATATATATCTCTGTCTCCCAGCCAATAAAAGTCCTGGTTGTGTCCATTTTCCAATTGACTGAGAATGGGCACATCTGGCAACTACAATTCCCAGAACTCTCTCTTGCGGGTTTTTTTTTAAAGAAAAAATGTTATGGTAAAATCTTAAAATAATTCTAAAAAATCAGTAGATTGGTGAATTGTTCTGAAACTTGGCAGGCCTGTTTCAGAACAGGGGGTCTAAAACTTGAGGTAGGGTTTATGCAGATAGTCCTTAAAGTGGCTGAGGATTGAGCCTTTAAAGTTTCCTATTGTAGCCAATGGGCTGAATCTTTGCCAAAAGAAAATTGCAAAACTCCTCCCAATTTGAGCAACTTTCTGTTAAACATAATAAGGGGTTAGCTGAAAATGGACCCCAAAATGGCAACCCCAATGGTTCACAACAGTTCACACAGCTCCTGTGCTCCTCTTCAATTTTATTTTATTTTATTATTGCTGGAAAAGAAACCTGACACCTATAGGGGCTTTGTGGGGAGGGGTCAGTTTGGTCCAGAATTCTACATCCTGTTTATATAAATTCTGAATTTAAACAGGCCGGAGAGACCTCATTTTAAAAAAATGCCCCCTCAGATCAGCAAACAAAAGATTCACACACACACACACACACACACACACATTTTTAGGCATAATTGGAAAATGTGGCCCTTGGATCAGGGGGAGATTCCAACTTCAATTTAAAGACGTAATATCCAGGTGCAAGGTGGACAAAGATAAAAGCTTTGCATGATATTGATTTATCTTTACCTTCTTAGGTTCTGATATATTATTCACATAAATAGTGTAGACACCGCTTTTATTAAAACCAGCTTGGTATGCATCAGCACAGTCTCTGAATGGCTTGTCATCTTCTCTTTTGGGGTTCTTTAGCATAACTGCAAAAAAAGGGAAAATGAATATGATATTGACATCTGCAATAACAACTGAGTTAAATGTTCAACCAATAGAGGCATTTATGCCAGCGACTTGATTTGCCAGTTTTGGTTTCGTTTGGTTTTATGTTACTGGTTCTACTCTGCTGCCTTGAACAGCAACCTAATGCAGAAATCAATAGCATAGTCTTGGGGACAATGTCACCTGTTACATTGGCCTCTCTGCTATGTGCATAGACAATCTTCATTTAGATCAGGGTTTCTCATCCAGCATTATCTGGAACTGTAGGGTTCACAAGAGGTTTCTACGGTTTCTGCAAAAGATCATGTCTGGAAAAAATGAAACTATTCCTGAGCTATAGATGTAATAATTATTAGCAAGTGTTCCTTGAGACCTGAAAATTATTTTGAGAGGTCTTTCAGAGTTATATTGGAGGGTATATGTGTACTCATTCTGAATGTAGGTGGGCAGGCAAGCAGTAAACAGACAGATGAACTAACCAAGGTACATTTTCTTGGGTGTATCTTCTCCAAGGCAAGTTCACCCCTTTTAGCATTTCATAGCTCTAAGTAGGCATTTGGGGACCATGCCCAACTTTTGCTCATAGGTCTTAACATTTCGTTTATATGGTCAATAACCCAGCAAGCGGGATTTTAAATCAGGGATTAATCAGATGGGGAAAATGCCAATAACAACCCAAACTCTTTATTAGCGCATTTTCATTTTTAAAAATATTTCTCTGGAAATTTGGAGTATGCAAGTCCCTGTGGGATCCTGGAAACCTCCCCAAAATCTTGAGAAATCATGGACTCTACTTTCCCCAGTCTGGTCCCAAAAGATAAGTTCTATATCAGCATTTTTTATCTAAAGATGGAAGGAATATATTTTAAAAGAACAGAAAAATGCCCCCCAAATGGAGTGAGTTCTCAAGTTCCATAAACTTTGATAAGGAGATAAAAACTTTCAGTGTTTGGATTTATTCTACACTGAAAATATATACTCATGTAGAAAAAGGAATATGCAGAAAATACTATTTTCTATATATTTTCTGTGAAAAAAAAATTTCTTTATATGGTCAATACTGGGCTACAAATGATTTTCAGAAACATTTTCACTTGCATCCTCACAGTGAGAACAAAAAAGTTAAACAAATTTGTTCTTTCCCACAAATATGAAATTTACTAAGATTTATATTCCTTATCTAGCATTAATTGTACCCTGTGGTTATGGTTTTCTATCCAACACTAATACCCCTTTGGTATTTGGTATTTGGTAGAGATGTAACCACCAATTTTGGTAGTTGTCTTTCTGACAGATGATATGTTTTCTATTGGTCTTGAGAGAGTTTTTGCTTTTGTGATAATTATTTTGCTCAAATTGATTTATATGACAGGCAGTAAAACATACATACATTGTATTATTTAAACCTTACTATATCAATATAATTTCCTTTATATTAATTTAAAATGTATATGGAACCTGCTGGAATAGATCCAACAGATAAATGAGCTGTCAGGATTTAAAACACATTTGAAGGCCTACCTCTTCCAGCAGGCCTACCCAGCCAGTTTTAATCATGAATTTTAAACTCGTGTCTTGTGTCCACTATATTTTAATCATTGTTCTGTGTATTTTAATATATGTATTTTATATAATGATTATGTGTTTTTAGCTATGTTGAAACCCACCTCGAGCCATGAGGAGATGCAGGTATGAAATATAATAATAATAATAATGATAATAATAATAATAATAATAATAATAATAATAATAATAAGGTAAAAAGCTAATGATGATGGTGAAAATGAACACATCAAGCTACTCTGGGACTTCCAATTTCAGACTGACAGAGTTTTGGAGCACAATACTCCTGACCTCACAATCGTGTGAAAAATCAAAGTATGGATCATCGATGTTGCAATCCCAGGCAACAGCAGTATTGAAGAGAAACAACGGGAAAAGCTGACATGATATGAGGGTTTAAAGATCGAACTGCAAAGACTCTGGCACAAGCCAGTAAAGGTGGTCCCAGTGGTGATCGGCACACTAGGTGCAGTACCTAAAGACCTGACAAAAAGTGCTGACAAAAAGTGCTGACAAAATTACCAGCTGCAAAAGGCCACCTTACTGGGATCTGCATGCATTATTTGCCGATACATCACACAATCCTAGATGCTTGGGAAGTGTCTGACGTGTGATCCAATACAACAGCCACCAGAGTGATCTTGTTTTCTGTGGACTCATCTTGTTGTGTTTCAAATAATAATAATAATTTTATTCTTATATCCCACCACCATCAAATAATAATAATAATTTTATTCTTATATCCCACCACCATCTACCCAAAGGGACTTGGGGCAGCTTACATATAGACCAAGCCCAACAAAAACAGAAATAAAATATAGCACAATTAAAATAAGTTATATTTCAATAATTAAAACAATAAAACCGAACAATAGACATAATAAAACTTAAGAAAATCAATAACTATTAACCAGAAGCTGAGAACAGTGGGTGTGTTCAGATCTAGGAGGGCGGGGCAAGGGCTAGTGCAATACAGCTGTAAGGGCAGGGCGGGTAATAAAGTGTTACAAAGCCAGACAATGAGTTAGGGTTGGGGGGGGGGAGGTAGTTAATAGATGAATTGATTAGTCAAAGGCACATTGAGACATCCAAGTTTTCAGGTCTTTATGGAAGTTGGGCAGGGTGGGTGCTAATCTAATATCCCTAGGTAGAGAGTACCGGAGCTGAGGGCCACCACTGAGAAGGCCCTCTTCCTCTTCCACACCAACTGTGCTTGTGACGGAGGTGGGGGCAAGAGAAGGTCCTCCCCAGAAGATCTTAAAGCCCGCACAGGTTCATAGGGGAAGATACGATCGCACCTTGAATTCGGACCGGAAACTTATCGGCAGCCAGTGAAGCTGTTTTAAAAGGGGGGTTGTCCTATTATGCAACTACCTATCTAAATGCATATCTAGTTGCACAACCCTGACTCCCATACATTTATGCTAAATATGAATAGATGCAAACACTAAATCTCTATTAGGAAATAATTGCAAAGTAACAATTCTTATAAATAAAGCTGACAGTTCTATACACACAGACTCCGTGTATTCTGTATATACATAAAAGAATGAATTGAACAGATGTAGGTTTTCTTCTTTGATGGAGGATGTTTTAATATAAATTTCAAGAGCTTAGGACATTCACACACCCCTCGTGGAAACCTTATCTACAGTTATGCTATAATATAAACTACCTAAAAATGGCAGGAGATGTAAGTCATCATCTGTGGGCACTACATAAAAATAAGACGCCAGTAACAAAAAGTTTTATAGACTCATATTTAATATATTGCTACTCTTAAAGGAAAAGAAGCAGCAGAGCTTTTGGCCATTGCCAGGTTGGCATGGACGGTTCAATTTATATAACAAAGGAAGAGTCCATTGGCTCCCTTTCCTCATTAAATGTTTCTTTGAGTGCCTAGAAAATTCCAAAGACAGAGTAAATATATTGTCTATGAATTCTGCCTAGAAAGTGGTTTGCAGCCTTGCATAGCATGGGCATAAATGAATTGTCTTTGTTTCTGACAATAGGCAAATGAATTACAATAGCAAATTGGTTCCTATGGCCTTTTTCAAGTCTATGATTCCGTGTTTATTGACTTCTATTGTATCCCAAATCCCTCCTGGCTAGACTTTACCTAAATCAAACCACCATCATATTAAACTCAGTGTAATATCTCAGGAAAAATACAGCTCAATATACCATCAATCATCACCTTCCACCATCACTAAAATGACTTAAAATGAAGAAAACATCAAAAACTTGCACAATGTATTTTGTGCCTTTTGATGGACTCTTAAAAAGGCACTATTGCAGTGTGGGTGTGGGTGTTTGTGTGCTCGCACACGCTTGTGTTTTGCTCTCTTCCAGTGGCTGGCCAATGTGGGATATGCATCACTTTTATTTCAGATCTATGGACTGAGTCCAATTGCTGTTCCGAATTAGAGTAGAATGTTCAAATCAATCAGATTTACAGGCGTGTTGACATACACTCATTAATTGATTCAATTATTCTACTTAGTTGGGAGTAACAATTAGAATTAGTCCCTGGTGTGTGTCTCAAAGAAAAGCTAAATCAAATAGAATATGAAATAATAAAATATGGAAAGAACTAGTAATTAAACTCCATCCTCTGCTTTATTCACTGAAAACTGTTTTGATTTTATTTTTATTTTTTTAGAAAAAAAGCTACTCATTTTCCTCTGGGAAGAGAACTATATGAAATCAGAGCCAAAGACAAACAAACCTGCCAGTATTCTTAACAGTGAAGAAAACAAAGCTGCCAGAACCCTCTTCCCCCAATTCTAATTTCAAGTTCACATCCTTTCCTGGATATGAAGAAATATGCAATTTTGAGAAATTCTTCAAACAGACTGATTTTGAATAGTCACCTCTTAATGAACTGAAAAATGAAATGATTTTTTCCCCTATTTGTGTCAACCATTCTATAGGTAAATGCAAAACCTGTCTGGGAAATAAGTGTTACACATGGGAAGAGACAGACATTCTAATCCAACATTGAATACAGGGTTGAATACAGGCAGTTTCAAACCAAAGCATCTAAGAGATAAGCATGCAAAGCCTTGGATGTGGAAACTGGAAAGACTTAGGATGTCTGTCTGCCTCTCAGTTCTGGTTTCTCTCACACTTATTATTAAAATCAGTCAACAATAATCTCATGTTCTTTCCATCCAAAAATGAATTAATTTAGGTTTCCCCCCCAAAATTTGAATAGAAAATAAATAGAAATTATATCCTCACCCTGACCAGTTTCTTCTAGTCCTGACTAAACAATAGACTGTCAACAATCAGTCTTCCAACGCAGCAGGCTTCTATGGGGAGCGGTCCTATAAAATTTCACTTGTTTTTTCTTTTTTGATAAGTACTTTAAAAATTAAATAGTTGCTTTTCAAAAAAGGTTTGAGATTTTGTTTTT